AGGACGCTACTAGGGGCTCCTGGCTTTACTACTAGGAACAAGAAGCTGCTAGGAACAAAGGGCATCACTCCTAGGAGCAAGGATGCTACTAGGGGCCCCTGGCTCTACTACTAGGAACAAGAAGCTGCTAGGAACAAAGGGCGTCACTCCTAGGAGCAAGGACGCTACTAGGGGCTCCTGGCTTCACTACTAGGAACAAGAAGCTGCTAGGAACAAAGGGCATCGCTACTAGGAGCAAAGACGCTACTAGGGGCTCCTGGCCTTGCTACTAGGAACAAGAAGCTACTAGGAACAAAGGGCATCGCGGACGCTACTAGGGGCGCCTGGCCTTACTACTAGGAACAAGAAGCTACTAGGAACAAAGGGTATCACTCCTAGGAGCAAGGACGCTGCTACTAGACTAGGCACAAGAAGCTACTAGGAACAAAGGGCATCACTCCTAGGAGCAAGGACGCTACTAGGGGCTCCTGGCTTTACTACTAGGAACAAGAAGCTGCTAGGAACAAAGGGCATCACTCCTAGGAGCAAGGACGCTACTAGGGGCGCCTGGCCTTACGACTAGACTAGGAACAAGAAGCTACTAGGAACAAAGGGCATCGCTACTAGGAGCAAGGACGCTACTAGGGGCGCAACTGGACTAGGAACAAGAAGCTACTAGGAACAAAGGGCATCACTCCTAGGAGCAAGGACGCTACTAGGGGCTCCTGGCTTTACTACTAGGAACAAGAAGCTGCTAGGAACAAAAGGCATCGCTACTAGGAGCAAAGACGCTACTAGGGGCTCCTGGCCTTGCTACAAGTAGTTCCCGGGCAAGCCGGCGGCGGAAGTTTCCTATAAGAAGAAATTGACCTATAGGAGTGTCCACGTTCTCTCCAACGTGCGCGTCCTCCAGTCAAACGCACGCGCTCCGGACTTTTGACCCACGGGATTCCACGTGTGTAAGGTGTGTGTGCCCCCTGCGAGAGATGACACACATCCGGCCACCACGACTTGCCAAGGATGCGGTCCACATCGACACACATCCCACCGTGGCATTCTTCAGTGGCGGCAAACCTTGCATATCACACATCGGACTGAATGGAATCCGAATTTGAATGTAAAATCTGTCTTGAACTCTGAGACTATGTATGATGAGTCTTGTATGATGAGGGGTGTATGACAAGTGATGAATGATGAGTGGTGTATGTTGAGTGGTGTATGATGAGTGGTGTATGACGAGTGGTGTATGATGAGTGGTGTATGCTGACTGGTGTATGATGAGTGGCGTCTTGACCAGCGGTTGAATGTCCTGTCCTGCATAACTGCAACCAAATACTATCAGTATGAACTGAACGTGCATGCCGCGAGAGATGGCTCAGCAGCGAGAGATGACTCAGTCGCGAGAGATGACTCAGCCGCGAGAGATGAATGAGCAGCGAGAGATGACTCCTCCGCGTACTACACTGTTCGCCAGTACAACTCTAGTTGTACTACGAAGTCGCCAGTCCTCAGCTTCTAGCTGCACAGATTGCTCCGCGCGCTGAAGTTGTACTACAAAGTCGCCAGTTCTCATCGTCCAGCTTGCCAGATACTCCGCGTGCTAAAGTTGTACTACAAAGTCGCCAGTTCTCAGCTTCCAGCTCTACAGATTGCTCCGCATACTAAAGTTGTACTAGAAAGTCGCCAGTTCTCACCATCCAGCTCCACAGATGCTCCGCGTACTAAAGTTGTACTACAAAGTCGCCAGTTCTCAGCTTCCAGCTCTACAGATTGCTCCGCGTACTAAAGTTGTACGAGAAAGTCGCCAGTTCTCACCATCCAGCTCCACAGATACTCCGCGTAGTAAAGTTGTACTACAAAGTCGCCAGTTCTCCTCGTCCAGCTCGCCAGATACTCCGTGTACTAAAGTTGTACTACGAAGTCGCCAGTTCTCAGCTTCTAGCTGCACAGATTGCTCCGCGTACTGAAGTTGTACTACAAAGTCGCCAGTTCTCATCGTCCAGCTTGCCAGATACTCCGCGTACTAAAGTTGTACTACAATGTCGCCAGTTCTCAGCTTCCGGCTCTCTACAGATTGCTCCGCGTACTAAAGTTGTACTAGCAAGTCGCCAGTTCTCAGCTTCCAGCTCTACAGATTGCTCCGCGTACTAGAGTTGTACTAGAAAGTCGCCAGTTCTCAGCTTCCAGCTCTACAGATTGCTCCGCGTACTAAAGTTGTACTAGAAAGTCGCCAGTTCTCAGCTTCCAGCTCCACAGATACTCCGCGTAGTAAAGTTGTACTACAAAATCGCCAGTTCTCATCGTCCAGCTCGCCAGATACTCCGCGTACTAAAGTTGTACTACAAAGTCGCCAGTTCTCAGCTGCCAGCTCTCCAGATGCTGTGCCTGCCACGAAATCTGCACATGGAGGTTCACAAAGTGCTGTGCCTGCCACGAAATCTGCACATGGAGGTTCACAAAGCGCTGTGCCTGCGAAGAAATCTACACATGCAGGTGCACAAAGTGCTGTGCCTGCCACGAAATCTGCACCTGCCACGAAATCTGCACATGGAGGTTCCCAAAGTGCTGTACCTGCCAGGAAATCTGCACATGGAGGTTCACAAAGTGCTGCGCCTGCCACGAAATCTGCACATGGAGGTGCACAAAGTGCTGTGCCTGCCACGAAATCTGCACATGGAGGTTCACAAAGCGCTGCACCTGCCACGAAATCTGCACATGGAGGTTCCCAAAGTGCTGTGCCTGCCAGGAAACCTGCACATAGAGGTACACAAAGCGCTGCACCTGCCACGAAATCTGCACATGGAGGTTCACAAAGTGCTGTGCCTGCCAGGAAATCTGCACATGGAGGTACACAAAGTGCTGCGCCTGCCACGAAATCTGCACATGGAGGTTCACAAAGTGCTGCACCTGC